TTCAAAAAAGTAAAAATTTTGCGACGACATTTCGACGTTCGCCTGAGAAGCGAACCCTGAGAAGGCCGTACGAGTAGATTGTGAGATCAATATCCGGCATTAAGTCACTGTTGCCCAGGCTGCCGTTTTACACTCGGTCGAGCCTAAATTGTTTACTCTTTAGAAATCAAGTGGCAAAGAACTGAAGAAAAATTACACTAAAACTACATACTTACCAGAAGCCATACTAAAACTCAATATCACTAGGACGTAGATACGAAAGGAAGACATCGTCTTTAACAATCTTCAGTTCTTTGGAGGCCTAACGAGTAAATTGACCAAGATCAAAACCTGCTAACTACCCGGCACTCTGTAAGATAAGAATCTTAAATCACAGCTGACGAGTGAAAAGTAAATGAAAATATTCAATAATCATTCCACGAGCACTCGTTGGATATGAGATGATGGTAGATAGCCAACGAGGCGAGTAGCACCGAGTTGGCTATAATCATCTCATATCCAACGAGCGCGAGTGGAATAATGTTTTTATTAAAACGCCCATGAAATATAGAAAACCAAACTAAAATAAAAATAAAACGCCCCAAGAAATGACGCTTACGCTTACCATCTTTGTAGAGCATGGTATAATGGCTCGTAACCCATGATGGCTAAGCCAATGGAAACTCTCGAATTGCCTTACCCAATGATCCAGTTTTTAATTATACTCAATAAACCTTTCCAAAATAACCACCCTGTTAGTAATACGGGCGCTCAGTTTCTTTTGTACACAAGAAAGGCTAGGATACATAAACAATAGCCTCCGTTGGGCGCGAAAATATGTTCAGATATTTGTCCGCGGGCATCATCTGTTCCGAAGCGAACAGTTTTTCGAGAGCGTAGCTCGAGGAAAACTGAGAGCTTTGAATAACAGATTATGTCCAAGGACAAATATCCGAGCATATTTTTTAAATTAAATGGTGTTTATTTTCCTTCAAATATTTTCCCAACAAGTAAAATTTGAAAATTGGGGAATGTCACTCGGATATACCCCGGTTACAGCAGAGTTATATTCAGTCACGTGACGCGTTTAGACCAATCGCGTGGAAGCGAAAATAGTCGATGGATTATAAATGTAGTTAGTTTCTTATTTGACTGACTCCGTCGAAACAGCCACTATAATCTTGCATATCACGCGCGAAACTGTTTTTCAAGAAATTCAAAGACTCTAGGTTTTAGATTCATAATTTTAAAAACTTATGAAACAAGGAAGGAGTGCTTGAAAGTGACTGGAGAGCGGAGTTCGTTATGACGTTATATTCCCCTGTTTTCAACTTGTTTCGAAATAAATTCACCCTTCCAAATAACACATTCGCCGGCTTTTAAGCCTTTTTTAAAAAAGGACATCTTATTCAATTAGTCCTCTAAGTTTCTTTTCTCTTCCATTGACTTTTCATGCCGTCCAGATGTCCAGGTGGTATACAATTCCCGCAAACGGCCGGACATAATTTGACCAACGCTCTTCGTCTGCTTGGTCATTAGGTAACAAATACATAATTTTGCAATGGGTCCAAAGTACCTCAATAACTATTTTTGTTGTATCATGATGTATCATATCATATTTTCTTTTTCGTCGTTGAATAAAAGGGTCGAAGCTAAGAAAAATCTCATCGCACATAAATTAGCCGTTTCAAAAGACTGTCTTCTTGTACCCGTATTGCTATAACTCTTAAGAAATAAGCACTGCTAATAGGACGATAAGTCAGTTACAAATAAGGCGGAATGCTAAACAAATGCTAACCTTTTGGAGTTGTCCAGGATCTTCCTCTATGTAGCAATACACTAATGTAAAAACACTCTCACGGCTTGGAATTTTTTTTCTTGTTTACAATGAAGACAGATATTTCCACCGGCAACGAACACGTACCGACGAAAAATTGCATTAACAATAAACGTTACGGTGTTGCATTCTGTTCTTTCAGAAAGAGATTCCCACCAGTGAAATAGGTGTGCGGACAGACGTTTATTATTTAATGAACTTACTTGATCGCTCAATCTCTTTCTTTCATGAACCTCCTTAAAAGATGTCCATGGCTCATTGTGAAGATAACGGCTATCCCTATGCTTTTTTTTTTGGGGGGGGGGGTATTTTTGGGATTACGGGTGTCTGAATTGTTATGCGTGTTGAGCGAGGATAAACTGGCAATACTGCTTGGCAAAAAATTGAGACCAACATCTTGTTTGATGTCTTTAAGGACACACACACTTTACGGGTATAACCCTTCTTCAATGAAGAACTTGTATGTTCGAAACGTTTGTGATTTTTCACAAGATGAAACTTCTACTTTATCAGATTTCAATTTTTCTTTTCTTTTGAATGTTTTTATCTATTGTCACGCACTAACCAGGAAGAACAGTTTCTTTCATTTGCTCATCCTAACATGTTAATTTCCGAACAACCTCCCAATCAAAGTGAGTAATTGAAACTTCAAATCGGCGTCACCCGCAAAGGCTGTTCGCAAGAGCGTTAAGAATTAAAAAAGTGAAAAGACGTTCAGGTTTCTTCGGCTCACAGCTGGGATACTCTGATAACAAAAACTGACTCGACTTTCCAGCATTATGTATAAGATTTGTAGACTTTGCTTCTCCATTCTGCTTTCGCTGTAAGAATTTATAAGAGAATGGCAAATGCAGAAATGTCACGAGCCGTAGACGTCCGTGTAGGCCTGTCACCCAGTTTAACACATTTTGTATTTTTTCTCCCGTCTGACGTCACGTGTCTTAAAGCAACCAATCAGCAAAAACTGTTTGCCAGGCGAACGGTCGGAAGAGAATAAACAATGGTGTGACTATGGGCGGATTTTTCTCGTCTCGCGCTTCTCGCTCCTGGTCGCGCTCCGCGCTCGTGTATCAGTTTTCGCTCTCTGCCCCGCTAATCCACCTGTTCTTAAGGCTAGCTATGTTATGGAAAAATTTGCTGTACCTAACCTTTGCCTCTATTTAACTTGCAAGCATCTCTGTCCGAGTTTGCTTCTGGTGAAATATCTTTGATGGAAATAGTTTTGTTTTTGTGACACAAAGTCATCCTACATGGTTCGGGTAAACGAAGTTGGCCACAGACTGTGTGTTTTTGGGGGTCTAGGCATCCGTTGAAGTTTTATTAAAGAGTTTAACTAATGCTGATTCGGTTATGTCACCTAGGACGGCACACTATGGACTGTATTGAACTTATAAACAATACTGTACTAAATGAGATAAAATCTGGTCCAAAATTTATTACATTAGTGGTAAGCTTTTTTATTACTCTAGTTGTGATTTTGATTACATTAGTAGTCAGTATTACATTAGTGGTTGGTTATTACATTAGTGAGTGATGCAACGTTAAGAAAACGAAAAGTGTATGAGCGCAAAACAAACGTTTGTACACGTCGGCGGTCTTTCAGCATAATTCTTGGCACTTCTGTTGTCCTTTGAAGTTTGCCAGACTTAATTACTATTCCCCACCATTAACTGTGAGTTAAGTTCCTGATTGCTAAACTCAAACTAACATCCTTCTATTCTCGTGCAATCGTTAAGATGCGTTTCTGTTCATTTATTTATATTTTTGTATTTCAGCCTGGAATCAAATTTACTTCCTTGTTCGCCTTTCTGATTAACCTTGTCACAGTTACAACGATTGGCGAACAGCAATTTGAAATCAAGACTTTCTTTGTCTCGCCACAAAATGCTCGTTACTTTTTGCCAACAAACCGTGCACTTGCAGATTTTTCACTCCTGTTTTAATGACGAGAAAACAATGAATAGCACCACATATACACTATAGTCTTATAGTTCTTATAGGCGCTGAAACGAAATTGTAAGAAAAAGTCTTGATATTAATTTGTTGATCAGGTATCCTCGGGAAAAAAGTTCAAGAAAAGTGGGGAAAAAAGTACAAGAACAAAATTCTTGCCATTTTCTTCCTAAAATGAATGACAAGAAGGCGCGCTTTCTGTTTTAATGAAAACAAAACCAGCGTTATATAGAGAGCGCTTTGAGCAGCTGGGCATTAAATGTATTTCAGAGATTGGTGAGCATGGCTCTCAAAAGAAAAATATATATTTTATCGCAAAGTGTAAAGCGATGAAAGTTGGTGAGTTCATTGTAAGAGTGTAAAATATGCAGTTTACATGAACAAAAAAACACGAATATACTTTATTTTGCAACTTATTTTATTCTCCGAATCTGAGTTTATCAGACATAAGAACTTCTATTTAGTTTTTCTTTTTTCTTTTTTCGTATGAGTAGAAACGTTGGAGTTATTTTGGAAACTTCATTTTATCAAGAGATGCCTGTAATGTTGAATTGAATCAGGCGAAATAATTTTCCTTTCTTCATCAAAAAGGCTTCAGGCCTCTCGAGTTTTTCATTTAAAAGGTTCATAACAATCATGACCACACCACTGTACTCTGTACCAAAAATACCGGTTAAATTTACTCTGAGAGTTTTACATTAAATGCACTAATGACTATGCGTTAGCTGACGCAAAAAAAAAAAAAAAAAAACCGGCAAGAGCGGAAGAGTGTTTACATGCTATCTCCTATTTGAAATGCCAGTGATGATTAGAGGATTATAATAAGGAACTGAGCGATTAGAAACCTAGGGAAAACAGTCAACACTACATGAAGGAGGATTTTATGCTACATTCACCAAACGTTCTGCCTATTTCTCCATTTGGCTCCCAATTAAAGATTTTTGTGACAAAATACAGCATCTGTTTCTTTGTTTACCTTTCTTTTGAGTTGTTTCATGGACTATTGGTCATTATTCCCTTTGGAATATATGGTTTGCGGCGTTCATATCAGTGAAATTGAAAATGAGGTAAGGAATATAAAGCGTATTTTAAAGATAATTAAACCACAGGATCGATTGAAGAAACCGCCGACTGGCGTAAAAGCTGAAGCTGAAGGCCGTTTATGATCGACAGCGGTGGTTGTTATTTAACGGCCCCTGCATCCAAACGAGACAAATTCTTCATATGCAGCATGAACCTGAACATGACAAACAACAACATCAGTTCATCCAGCGCAACCTTTCACTGCAGATACGCACCGCACATATCATGGGAAGTCAGTGGTGGGTCAGCTTTTGACTTGATTATAGGCCTCGTCACGGTCATGGCTTCACTCCCCACCATTATTTTGAACGGATCTGTAATCCTAGCAATAAAGCAACGGAAAGAGCTGCAAAAATCCTCAAACATTCTGTTGTCAAGCCTGGCCGTTACGGATCTTCTGGTTGGCGTTATAGTTATGCCAACATCTGCCATTATTGATTTCTTCACATTACGTCAAGTTTCATTTGAGTATACCTGTATGTTATATTCGGTGAATCTTTTCTTTCTCCCTTTACTCTTCACGGCTACCCTGCATCACTTGACTCTCGTTGCTTGGGAGAGGTACGTGGCGGTACAAAACTGGATGAACTACAAACTTATCATCACAAATGGCCGCCTCAAAAAAATTGCCATAGCTACTTGGCTCTCTGCGCTCTTCCCATCTGTTGCGCACTTTACAACGATAGTGGTAGCTGTGGATCGTAAAATTTTGAACGGCGTTTTAACCGGTTGGATTATCGTGGAAACTGTTTGTTTATTACTTGTTGCATTCTTTTATCGAAAGGTTTACCTTGGAATACGCAATCGTAAACTAAACGACATCTCTCAAATCGACGTTCTAATAAAAGCGAAACTGGAGTCTAAAGTTGCCAAGACAACTGGTTTGCTAACCGCTGCGATAATATCTTCGTTTGTCCCAATATTTGTTACTGGTATCTTAGGAAACGTTATGCCAGTCTTTCGTACAAATGCCGCCATGCGGTTTTCTCAGAGAGTAATGCAGTTCATCTCTCTATTTAATCCACTGCTTTACTGTTATAGAGACCACCGCTTTAGGAACGCTATTCGTGAGCTGTTAGGGATGAAAAAGCCTCAAGCAATACAGTCAGCAGCTGGTGCCGCTGAATTTGTTAGGGGAAAGGATCCATTCAGGTCGTCAGAGCTGAACAAAGTAGGAAAACGTACCCAACGCTTGAGAAGATCAGTAACTTGCAATCTAACTGATGCTACAGATTCTGATCATGGTACTCCCAGTGTGGCAATGTTGAGAAAGTCATTGTCTGCCCACACGCTTCATACATACAGCAGTTCCTCACATCACTTGCATCGGTCAGACCCGCAGGAACCTTCAGTCGTCGTGGAAACAAGTGCAGCGATCCATGCAAAGTGCAAGGTAAAGCGTAGAAACACAATCCTGAAGGTAACAGAGATGAAACCAAGCCTGAAATAACACCGTGAAATTAATATAGCGGTTTTTATTTGAGTGTTTAAAAGTAATTAGTTTTGCATTAACTACGCTACACGATTGGCTTAAAAAATTCGCGCTACTTTTTCATCCAATTAGAAGTAAAACTAAGACCAATCATAGCTCGTTCGTACACGTTTTCCCGCGCTTTGCACCAGCCCGATGTAAATACTTCGAATATTGATTGGTTCATTGTATTGCCTGTGTCGTTTGTGATTGACTAGATTGATTACTTTGGCTTTGGTTTTACGACACTCAATTGAAAACCGCTCTACACCAGGATCGAAATCCGGTGATTCCAACAAGACCCGTGAAACTGGCCAAACGCTAGCTGTTATGGAACGTTTCGAGGAACAGAAGCGGCGACAGCGAATATCACGGCCACTTATGAAGCATCTCTGAACAGTGGCTCGATTTGAGACAGAATTTTAAAAACTGCAATTAAGGACGTTCGTGCCCATTGTTTCTGAGCATTCTTACTGCGCAGGTAATAGGGTCCTTTCAATATTCTTGGACGCGCGTTCCTGAGAACTAGAAAGCGAACATGTAAACGAGGCTTAGAGGACCGCGCGCGGGGAAAATTAAAAACAGAAACGGGTGCACTGCATGTAATGTATAAGTTGCCATTATTTTTCCAAAGTTATGCTGATTTTTTGTTCTGTAGCAAACTGCCTGAACAGTTCAAGGAATCGTCCGGATCTTTCCTTTTTCTGTTTCCCTTCCGAACAGAGTTCTAGAAGGCTTAGGAAGAACTTTTGTCCGCGACGAAGTGATCCCGAACTCCGAGATAAAGAAAAAAACCCGGATTTGTAGTGCACATTTCGAGGCTTCCTCTATCAAATCGTCGCTTGGCGGAGAAGAGAGATTATCCCAGGTGAATTACCGAAGTATTTTAATCCCTCGACAAACGAAGGTCCTGTTTCTTCCCGTGAAAAGACACTGGATGATAGGAAGAAACGAACACTTTATGAACAATATCCTAAACCTAAAAAGAGTAGAAGGGTTACCCAGGAAGGTAAAGATACCAGTGTCACAAGCAAAGAGGCAGTTCTTTTAGATCACAATTATTGTCAGCGTCTCCCAAACAATCACAAGGGGACCCAAACGGACTTTCCTTTTGAAGATTTAGAGGTTTTAACCAGTGAAATTGATACTTTAAAGGAAGATTGGTCAAGTACCCTTCATCGGTAGTTTTCAGTTGCTCTTTCATTGAAATTGCTGGATCGACTGGCTCTTCTTCTGAGATTTTCGGGACTTTTATCTCGACACTTTTTACACAAAGTTCTAATAGTTCAGCCTTACGGTTTCCTAAGCTTTGAACGCCTCTTTGTTTCAAATATTCTTTTAGCCAAGGTACCGGTTTAGTGCTAAAAATGCCCGCACCAGAGCTGGCAACCATCTTAATTGTCCTCTAAGCCTCGTTTACATGTTCGTTTCTAGTTCTCAGGAACGCGCGTCCAGGAATATCGAAAGGACCCTATTCACGTCGCAACGTAAACGCCATGTCATACATGTGCAAATAGTGTCTCCAATTAACTTAGCTAAATACTCTTTGACACTTAAATGAAGTCTTTCATTAATTTATCAATTCATTCAAACGCGCGCACTAAGAAAGAAACATAAGCAAGTACCTTCGTGTTGTTTTCTTGAGGATAAAATTTACAATTTGCAGTTTCAAATAGAGGCTTCGTGGTGAAATTTGCTTGCCAGATGTCATCATACATACGGGGTATTAGATAGCTTGCTCACGAGATATCATATGGCATATGACTTACCTAAGACTGCGAATTGAAAGGTGTGCGCCTTTATCTAGGTAATTGTTACTCATTTCCAGGCAGTATTGTCTTTGGCTTTTTAAGGTTTACTTCAGACAAGCACTGGCCGCTAAAAAGCACCATTACTTAGTTCGTTAACAACTTCTTTCATAGATGACGATTGAGATGCTCATCATATTCCTTTAACAACTTTGTTAAAATGTGGTTGTCTGGTATGCTAAGATATGGAAAAATTCGCTATACCTAACTTTATTAATGGTGCCTCTATTTAACTTGCAAGCATCTATGTCCGCGTTTGCTTCCGGTGAAATATCTTTGATGGAAATAGTTTTGTTTATGTGACACAAAGTCATCCCACATGGTTTGGGTAGACGAAGTTGGCCACTAGTAAGGACTGTACTGAACTTATAAACAATACTGTACTAAATGAGATAAAATCTCCTTTCTTACATTAGTGGTCAAAAATGTATTACACTCATAGTTGTGATTTTGATTACATTAGTAGTTAGTATTATATTAGTGGTTGGTTATTACATTAGTGAGTGATGCAAGGTTAAGAAAACGCAAAGTGTATGACCGCAAAACAAACAATTGTACACGTCGGCCCGCGACGTCGGCAGTGTTTCAGCATAATTCTTGGCACTTCTGTTTTGTCCTTTGAAGTTTGCTAGACTTAATTACTATTCGCCTCTATTAACTATGAATCAAGTTCCTGATTGCTCGAAGTAACACCCTTCTATTCTCGCGCAATGGTTAAGATGCGTTTCTGTTCATTTATTTATATTTTTGTATTTCAGCCTGGAATCAAATTTACTTTAATTACTCGCCTTTTTGATTAACCTTGTCACATTTACGATTGGCGAACAGCAATTTGAAATCAAGACTTCCTTCGTCTCGCCACGAAATGCTCGTTACTTTTTGCCAACAAACCGTGCACTTGCAGAATTTCCACTCCTGTTTTAATGACGAGAAAACAATTAATAGCACCACACATACACTATAGTCATATAGTTCTTATGGACGCTGAAACGAAACTGTAAGAAACTGTCTTGATATTAACTTGTTGATCAGGTATCTCCGGAAAAGTCGGGAAAAAAGTACAAGAACAAAATCCTTTCCATTTCCTTCCTAAACTTAATGGCAAGAAGGCGCGCTTTGTGTTTTAATGAAAACAAAACCAGCTTTATATAAAGAGCGCTTTGAACAGCTGGGCATTAAATGTATTTTAAAGATTGGCGAGCATGGCTTTCAAAAGAAAACAATATATTTTATCGCAAAGTGAGAAGCGATGAAAGTTGGTGAGTTCATTGTAAGTGTGTAAAATATGCAGTTTACATTAACAAAAAAACAAAAGTATATGCTTTCTTTAATGCGCAACTTATCAATATTCCTTTCTTCATTAAAAAAACTTCAGGCCTCTCGAGTTTTTCATTTACAAGTTTCATGACAGTCATGACCACACCACTGTACTCTTTACCCAAAATACTGGTTAAATTTACTCTGAGAGTTTTACATTAACCGCACTAATGACTATGCGTTAGCTGACGCAAAAACCGCAAGAACGGAAGAGTTCATACAGACTATCTCCTATTTGAAAGGCCAATGTTTATTAGAGGTTTATAATAAGAAACTGAGCGATTAGAAACCTAGGGAAAACACTCAACACTACATGAAGAAGAATTTTATGCTGCATTTACCAGACGTACTGCCTATTTCTCCATTTGGCTCCCAATAAAAAATCTTTGTGACAAGCTTTCCTTTGAGTCGTTTCATGGACTATTAGTCATTATTCCCTTTGGAATATATGGTTTGCGGCGTTCATATTAGTGAAATGGAAAATGCGGCAATGAACATAAAGCTTAATTTAGAGATGATTAAACCCGTCTTAATTTTACTTGTCATATGATCTATTGAAGAAACCGCCGACTGGCGTAAAAGCTGAAGCTGAAGGCCGTGTATGATCGACAGACGTGGTTGTTATTTAACGGCCCCTGCATCCAAAAGTTATGTTTAGAAAGTCATTGTCTGCCCACACGCTTGATACATACAGCAGTTCCTTACATCACTTACATCGGTTAGATCCGCAAGAACCTTCAGCTGCCGTGGAAACAAGTTGCGCGATCCATGCAAATTGCAATATGAAGATCCTGATAGTAACAGCAACCAAGCCTGAAAAGACACCGTGAAATTAATATGCTATGTTCCATCAAAATTAATGGTTGCGAGCAATAAGGTTACCTTTCCTGTGAAATCTTTTAAATATTGTTATAAACTTTCGTTGTTATTGTTTTAAGTAAAACCATGAACTACACAGCAAAAAGAGCATGAGTAAACGCTCTTTACTCAACATTTTGAGTTATGGTACACTAACTCAAAATAGGGAGTTGAAATAACCCTTTATTTTGGTTAAATTGAGTACGAGTTACTTTTAGTCATTTTACCCACATTTTTGAGCAAACGTTTACTCACATAGTTAGTGTTGGATACCCACACTTTGTGTATGGTTTTAACCCCAAAATATTGAGTAGATTGAACTCACTATCTTAAGTAAAGAGGGCATTTTACTCATAGTTAAGTAGAATTACTCAGGCATTAATAGAGGGCATTTTACTCATAGTTGAGTAGAATTACTCGGGCATTAATATCCCGGGGTGCCCGTGGGGTACTCCCCTATAAAAATGACGGGGGTGCTCGTCGGAATTTTTCGAAAACACCCCTAAAGGGTGCCAAAATCTCATTTTCTGAGTGTGGCTTCGAATTCATTTACACCCCTAAGAGGTACCAATTCTGAAATAACAAATTAATAGCCCACTTTCAAAAAGAGTAGAAACCTGGGGCGAGAGTAGGCGCACGCTCAGTTATGGGATCGTTTGGGGGCACACGAAGTTGAAAACAAATACACATGCCCCAAACGATCCCATAATTAAACGCGCGCCCACCCTCGTCCCAGGTTTCCACTCGTTTTGAAAGTGGGCTATTAATAATGACACGATTGCTTTCAAGTAAAAAATTCAGAAATAAGTTATCTGTTATGGTTTTCGTCATTTTTTCAGATTGACAACCTTAAAGACTCCTAAAAGGTACTGCGACAACTCTAACAGCAATCATTTTAGGTTTTAGCACCCTAATCGGTACCAATTCACAAATTTCCCCCTCTAAAAGGTATGACGAGCACCCCGTCAATTTTGTTTTTGTTTTCAACTTGTTTCG